AATATTATTGTGTTTATTTGCAAAAATAGAGGTCAGTTCTAGGTATTTTAGGACCTAGTAAGATTTAGAAGGTGAATTGAGATACTGGGAGATGTTGTTGTATGGGACTGTTGTGCACATTGTAGTATATCTAGTATCCTGTACAGCTTGTTGTAATAGCCAAATGTACTCCCACAAATTTCTAAAATCTGCCCAAGGAGGGTTATCCTCTTGATGAGGACCACCTCTTAGATGATTTTGACACCCCCCTCGCTCTCATATATGTGCGTGTGTGTGTATGTATAATTTGGAATGCATTTAATACATTTATGAAAACGTACAGAATGTATAGTTTCTATAAATTTCTTGTTAGATTATTTCCAGGTATTATGATTTTTGTAAAGGGGGGATCATTTTCTTATTTTATTTTCTGTGTGTGTGTGTGTGTGTGTGTGTGTGTGTGCGCGCGCTCTGGGTGCAGAACCCAGGGCCTTCGGCCTTGAGCATGGTAGGCAAGCTGAGCTCCATCCCCAGCTGATTGTTAACATTGTATAGCAAAGCTAGCGTAGTTTGTGTTTTTTCTTTATTTGAGCACCTTATTTAGCTCTCTTACAGCTCTAGTAATTTTTGCAACTGGCTTTTTTAAAAAAAGGTTTTCCAGCTAGATAATCATGTCTTTTTGCAAATAGTAGCTTTTCCTTTTCCTTTTGTTGCATAAAGTTTGCTGTTTTCAATGTAAATAATAGGAATAATTGTTTTCAGAGATTTAGTAAATAGTGCCTATTACACAGGTACCTTTTTTGAGGTTGAGGCAGAAATGTAGATTATTTAGTTTTTTGACAGTGCATTTTATAGTTGGGGTTTATTTTCATTTCAATAATTCATATTTTTTCATAATATCCGTTGTATTGATTTTTTACATTTTCTTATTTTTTTATGCATTTGTACAAACTAGCCGTCTCCTCATGCTCCAGCCAAGTGATGGCGAACCTTTTAGCTTTCATTGACAACAAAGAGCTTGCTGTGGCATGTGTGCCATAGGTTCGCCCCCACTAGTGGTTCTCTTTCCCAAGACCCCAGAAAGGTAACCACTGTTTCTGGCTTCTTCAGTATTCTTCCAGAGCATCTTTATGCATAGGTAAAAATGAATGCATATATTATTTTCTTCCGTTTTCTGCAAAACAAGGTAGTATGTGCTATACGTTGTAGATAAGGCATTCATTGTTATATTTTCCATTATATGAAGGTACCAAATGTATTTGACTATTCCCCTAATGCTCTCACTTGGATTATTTTCAAGCTTGCAATTCAAACCGAGTTAGTTCCTTGTGTCTATAGACTGAAACTTTACACACCAGGACAAAGGAACTCCATTTAATTTTGTTTTGTTTGTTAAATGTTGCCAAATTGCCCTCCACAGGTTGTATGTAGGATTTACTTTCTACTGGTAAAGTATAAAATAGGCCCCATTTTCCCAAGGAATCTGTTTCAAAATCAAATAAACTTTTTTTACTCTGGCTTAGGTTTTTTGTTTTTTTTAATGTATTGAGTCATTTATTGTTTTATATTTTACATGGAATAAATTCACCCTCTTTATGTTACAATGTGTAGTATATTCTTTCATAATCACAGGATGAAAGGCTTGTAAGTCTGGAAAATGTAATGAATACAGTGTTTAAATACAGCCAATTTGCACATTATCTTTCTAAGTCAGCAAATTTCATCTTTGGCAAATTCAGAGTATATAGAGTAATACTGAATGACTTTTAAAAAACGTCTTTCTGCAAAATTTGGAGAAACAAAGTAAGACAAACTGTCAAGATGGAAAACCTAAACTGGGAAGATACATTTATTGAATAATTGAACGGAAGAGAAAATGCATTACCGAGTAGCCTCAAAGATGCATAATGCCTAATGTGTGCCTGAAGACATATTGTGTAAGTGAGGAGTCATAAAACTCTTCCCACCCCACCATTCTCAGCGGTCCTCAGCCCTGTCCCTTCCTTGCTTGTATTAGAGGTCACAGTCCCATTAGCTGAAGTCCAGTGTGCCAGCTGTTCTTCATATCTTTTCTAACATTACTGTCTGCTGTGCTTACATATTTTAACTGAGTCCTGCACTTGCCGTTAATTACTTTGTTTTAGGATTTTTGCTTTCTAGGGGTAGCACAGTGTAGACTGGAGAAGAGGCACTTGGTGAGGAACTAGAACTCTAGCTCTCTGGGGTATTAGAGAGCCACATGACTGCCAGTGAGCAAGTTCTTCTGCTTTTCTGTTCATTCCCCACCTCGTGGGAGATGGATAGATAAAAATCCCTTTTGTTCAAAGTGTAGACCGGGAATCAACAGTGTCACCCCAGAGATCCTTAGAAAGAAGTATGTGGAGCCTGGTCCCGAGACTCAGATCCAGACCCTCCTTTCGGTGAGATGGTCAGGTGATTGGTACATTCACTAGAAGTTGAGCCTTCTGGTCATGTTTCAAAATTCTATGCTTCTGGTTCCTACAGACCTTTACCACGGGTCCGATATGGACTTTTGAGGTTCACTAGTGAGCTTTGGTTTTCCCTCTACCCCCGTGGCTTGCCAGTGATGGCAGTGACTGTCATGACCTGGATAGGAATTGACATGTCTAGGTGTGTTTAGGTTGGGATTGAGGTGATGGGGCTGAGGAGGAGACAAGAAAGCCAGCTCTGATAGCCTCTGCAGAGCCTTTGGAAGCAAAGCCACCCAAGCAGGGTAGGCGGCCTACAGTTGGGCTGCGTTGCTCTCACCCTGCAGGCTCATTAGAGAATAAGGAAACCAGTAGAGTTGGGCTACAATATGTGGGTCCTTGCCTGTGTGCTTTGAATGTGCTTTATTACAGGCAGAAATGAATTTAAACAGTGTCCTTTGGCAAAGCAGGTCTTCTTTTTATGTGAGGGAAAAACTTGAGCATTAAATTTTGGAGGGAATTTGAATATAAACTTCAGCAAGATAGAAAAGATTGATTGATTCTTTACTACTTGGTCCAGAAAGAGGAGACCAAGGACACAAAAGGGTGAAAATATGTTCTTGGCATTGTCAAGCATAATAACCCTAAATTAGCTGTGGATATAGGAAGAGTCCCCTCTCACATGCACAGACCTTCTCCAGTGAATCCCTCTTCTAGTTTTGTACTGTTAGGGTTTCTGCATTGTTGCTGCTTTCTGTCCCAGACCTGAATCACAGGCCTGAGTATGTGGAGCATGCAGTTTTCAGTGTGTTCTATAATGGCTTCAGTGTATCCTAGAGTAGATTTTTGTGAAAGGAAAATTCAGGAATTTGTAAAGGATGAGAGAAAAGGCACAAGCAAAGCCAGACCCCTGGCTCTGGCATCTGAAGAGAGAGGCTCTCCTGTGTCACCTAGGACACTCCATGGGCAGGCAGGCTCTGCCAGGACGTCCAGGAGTTCATGTTGCCTTTGAGCCCTGCAGTTAGAAACAAAGGTTTTGAGAACCCATAAAATGTAAGCTTTTATCATAAGCAAAAATCTTCCTTAAAAGGTTCTTAAAACCACATTGGACAGAAAACTGCATGAGCAGGATGTCATAAGTCCAGGGTCATTTGTGACCGGGACCTCATGGGCCTCTGGGTACCTGAAACAAGTCCAGGAGGCAGCCGTCTTGCCATCCTGTTGGTATCATTTCCAGGCTGCTCACTGAGACTTGAAGTTAGCTGAGTTCCTGTACACCAGAAATGTGCTTTGCTTATAAACCCAGGGCTGGTTTCTGCTTTTATGTATGTTGTCAGTTTGAATGGATTTACCAAAAAGAATGTTGTAAATAATGGATTACTTTTATACAAATTTCAGGGAAGAAAAATGGCTAACAGGTATACATTGTATACTTATGCACAGACAGAAATAAACCCAGCCAGCATGAATGTCACATACTTTCCATACTGATACAGGAGATAGGAAGAGAAGTTCACTCCCAGTGTAGTTCATTGAGGAATGCTTGAAAGATACTCTAGTGTCAGAGTTACACTCTTCTTATTACTAAACTGTGTAGCAGTAAAAGAAAAAGATATATCTTTTTAGCACAAAAAACATAGCAAAGGTAGTTTTCTTCCAGATACATGCAAAAACACCCACTGCACATTGGGGCTGTTCCTTTATATTCAGCTCCATATTGGTCTTTCATTATTCTGTTGGAGAATTGTGTGGAATTTGGGTTATGGAATAATCAAAGACACCCTTATACTAGATGTGACATTTAGATCTTTTCACCTTTAGCAGCAAGCAGACTGGTAGCTTCCAAATTCATATAGGAACATGTTTCCTATATTTTTTCATAATTGAAGAAGTTTGTTTAAATTTTACATCCAATTTTAATCTAAGCATGCGATATCTGCACGCCTTGGTCTTGGGTGGATGGGGACCCCCACGTGGCCAAAGCAGAGTCCCTTAAAAGATCTGGGAAATGAGGTTGACAATAAATGTGATTTACTTTTCTGTCTACACCCTTGGTCTCAGATATTAGGAAGATCCCTGGCAAAAATAAGGGGGCTTGCCTTTTGACTGGAAATTTAGCACTTCTAAACAAAACATTGTTTCTCTAAATGTCAAGTGTGTCTCTTGGGCCAAAATGCAAAGAGAAAGGAGAAAAAAGGCCAAGAAAACATCTGTGTGTTGTTAAATACTGTTGCTTCATTTGTGATTGAAAATACTGCCCTTTTATACATTCAAGAACTGTTTGTTTTAAAAGGGAAAAATCTGCTTGTCAGCTATTGTCTCTTAATTGTGCTCCATAAAAGACTTGGTAGAGATTAAGGAAAACGTTCATGTTGGGACTCCTGGTGGCCTAGGCTGTCCTCTTGCCCACCAGGGACAAAGGCTGCTTCTCTCAGTCTTTCCTGTCCCTCTCCTGTTGTGCCTATTCATGGGGACCCTAACCCTATGCCTGTGGGAGGGGCAGACAGGGTGGGAAGCCTTGGAGGTGCTTCTCCCCTCACCCCACACTCGCGTGTCATTGCCTGTGGTTTTGTCTTTGCTCTCCCTGCACAGATCCGGAATTAGGTGTTGGCACGCTGCCCGAACATGACAACCAGGATGCAGGGCCGATTGTCCCCAAGATATCGGGTCTAGAGAGGAGCCAGGAGAAGAGCCAGGACTGTTGCAAAGAGCCTATCTTTGAGCCCGTGGTGCTTAAAGACCCCTGTCCTCAGATCCCACAGCCGCTACTCCAGCCCCCGGTGGAGCCCCAGCTCCGAGCTCCTTCTCCGGACCCTGACTTGGTGCAGCGCTCAGAGGCCCCAGCCCAGCCACCCCCTCCGAGTACTCAGCCACCACAGGGCCCCCCAGAGGCCCAGCTGCAGCCTGCCCCGCAGCCTCAGGTGCAGCGACCACCCCGGCCACAGTCCCCCACCCAGCTGCTTCACCAGGGCCTCCCATCTGTGCAGGCCCACCCCTCGTCCCAGAGCCTCTCCCAGCCACTGTCCACCTACAACAGCAGCAGCCTGAGCCTCAACAGTCTCAGGTGAGCCACAGTTCTGCCAGACCCCCAGGACGGGAACCTGCAGGAGGTTGGGCTTGCCTTGTGGAGGCTTGGCCTCATTTTGTCTGTGAGGCCTGAAGGCCAGGAGTGGGTTGTCGGTTGAGACTCAGTCTGGTGGGAAAGACCAAGCTGGGGTGGGCAGTGAGGAAGAAAGGTAGGAAGCAGAGTCATGAGAAGCCCATCCAGGCCTGTGCCCTGAACCCACCCCCAGTGGTGAGAAGGGTGAGGTGCTCAGAAGGGAGGCCTTTTGCCTCCTGGAATCCCACTCTGAAGGACAGCTAAGTCTGCAAGTCCAGAAGGTTGGAACCCATGGACTATTCTGGTTTGAGGTTTATTTTTCATTAGGTTTGTCTGTTCCTCTGTGTGCCAGAGAGGTAGAGAAGAAATTAGCAGTGGAGAGGAAGAGAGGCATGCCAACACAGAGTGGGCTCTCTGTCTGGGCTTCAGGTTAGGAAGCAAATTCTAGCAGCGTAGAGAACTGTGAAGGAAAGAGGCAGAAGCCTAGGTTCTGGGCCAAGCCCTAGTTGCCCCAGGGGTCATAATTCTAACCCTGCACATCCCCTAAGGCTTTGTGTCTTTGTTATTGTTTTCCTTTTGGAAACCTGGTGACTTTGATGGCTCAGGGACTTGCTTTTTCCTGTCTGGGACAGGTACAAAGTAGCCTTTGGGAGACAGGGTTCTTCCCCAAGGGGCCAGGCTGTCTCCTGACTCCTACGCCATTCCCACCCTTCTCATGGCTTCTAGACAAAGGGTTTTACTTCATGGACAGGGTAGCAGGCGGACAGGGTGAGCTCAGACCCTGGACTCTCCCACTTTCTAGGAAGCAGGGCTGGTGGAGGATAGGCAGGAAGGCAGAAGGTGAGTCTGGCCACAGAAGCCAGAGAGGCCCTGAGTGCCTTGCAGAGTCAGCTGCCCTGCACCAGGAACCCCGGCATTTCTGGGGCAGCAGTTCCACCTGGCCACATCCATTGTAGCAAAGGAAGAAGGTGCAGCAGCAGGGACTTCAAACGGCTGAGCGTCCGGGAGTATCTATAAAGAGGAAGGGGCAAGACAGGACAGATGAAGTGCACCTGAGCAAGGAGATGGGATGTACTTTGAGAAGCTCATTTGCTCACCTTTCTGTTTTATTTTTCCCCTTACTCCCACAGCAGTAGCAGAAGCAGCACTCCAGCGAAGACTCAACCCGCTCCTCCACACATCTCCCACCACCCTTCTGCCTCCCCATTCCCCCTCTCTCTGCCCAATCACAGCCCCCTGCACAGCTTCACACCCACCCTCCAGCCCCCCGCACACTCACATCACCCCAATATGTTTGCCCCTCCCACTGCTCTGCCTCCTCCACCACCACTGACGTCAGGGAGTCTGCAGGTCCCCGGACACCCTGCCGGGAGCACTTACTCAGGTAGGACGCAGATGCTGGGCCGTGCCTTTGCACCCACTGTCCCTTGCTAAGTGACCCCCTCACCATTTGTTGTCCTGATGGCTAGGCTGTTACGGACAGTCTTGTGCCTCCTTGGATATATTCTCGTAATCAACCTCCTGTCCTTTGTGGCCAGAGGTTCACCAGAGATGCAAAGCAATACCCACACTGACCTGGTGCAGCCTGGTAAACGGCTGGTCGAAGTCAGGACACCCTTCCTGCCAGGCTGGCCACTGGGTGAGAAATCCCAGATGCTGTGTGCCTTGCGCTCAGCCAGGGCAACAACAGCTTTCCCAGGCCCATGCCCACTTCACTGCAAGACTTTAGGCTGTGTTCTGGACTAAGAGACTTGTTTCTGTGACTCAAGCCTGTCTTTTTCTTAGGAAGAGGAGATGGATTTTCTGTGACAGTATAGCCCAGAGTTTAAAAAAGAGACCTACTGTTATTGGAGTACTCTTCTACTCATCTGATTAATCAGGCCAATGTCCCAGCATTGGTCCAGTCCAGCCATGTGATGCCAAATTGTACAGCAGTGACTGACCTTAAAAAGGGCATGAACACCCTGCCGCATTAACAGCTGGTCATGCTTACTATACCTAAGCACTCGACCCTTAAGCCTTCCAACAAACCCAGGAGGTTAGCCATGTCGTTGCCCACAACTTACAGCTGGGAAACTGACTGGCAGATAGGCACGCCAAGGGTCAGTCAGCTGTCAGTAACAGGGCTGTTTGGCCTGGAGTTAGTTCACCCCCTTCATGGATTATCCCCCTTTATCCCAGAGACTTCCTGGTTCTACCCTGGTAGCTCACCAGCTGCTGTGTCTTCAGCCCAGTATCCCTCCAAATTATAGCCTTCGGATGTCCTTTTCTGAAGGAAACAGCCAGTACTAGAAAAGGTGTCATGGTCTCCCTTCTCTTCTTTTCCAGAGCAAGACATCTTGCGCCAGGAACTGAACACACGTTTTTTGGCCTCTCAGAGTGCTGACCGTGGGGCTTCCCTGGGCCCTCCGCCCTACCTGCGGACCGAGTTCCACCAGCACCAGCACCAGCACCAGCACACGCACCAGCACACGCACCAGCACACCTTCACGCCATTTCCCCACGCCATCCCGCCCACTGCCATCATGCCGACGCCAGCACCTCCCATGGTGCGTACCCCAGGCAGAAATGTGAGGATAAGTAGAGCACGACTCTTTTCTTTCTGCAGCACGCTGGGGTTGGCATGGGCATCGGGGCCGCAGATTGGATGGGAATACCAACCCTTGAGGGGGTCCTTGGGCCTTGCCCGTCTTTGCTGGAGAGAGGGGAATGTGTCCCAGCTCACCACACTCTAACTTCAGGGGACTTTGGAACTTTGTTTACAGTTGTATCTAGCACTGGGGGTGGATTTATTGTAGGTGACTCCAAAATAGTCACATCCAGTGTTGATAGTTAACCCCTCCAGGTGTTGTTTAGCTTTCTTGGGCATCCCGGGGATTGTACTAAAGTGTACCTGTACCAAGTACCAGCACAGGTGTGCTTACAGAATATCAGGAGTAAAGAAGAGAGAAGGGGGAGAGACCTGTCGGGAGGCCTGGGCAACCCCGGACGCCACTCGCTCATTCAGATGTTTTCCCTAAATCTACTTTGTTAGAGGTTCTATTATATTTTACGACAGTGCCCAGTGCCGCATTGTGCTCTGTGTGCAGGTGGTCAGGGACTGAGTGCCCCACAGGGACAGAACTCATTCTGCAGTACGAACTACCACTGGCAATGACATGGTCTTATCTGGCAGCACTCCACCTACTTAGGACCTTTTTTAGTACTGGGAATTAAATGTAGAAGGTTCTACATGTTAGACAAGTACTTTCTCACTGAGCTACATCCCTGACCTTTCTTAAATTTCTGAGACAGTGTTTCACTAAGTTACCCAGGCTGCCTTTGAACTTGCAATCCTTCAGCTTCAGCCTCCTGAGTAGCTGAGATTATAGGCTGGAGCCACCAGGCCTGGCTAGTAAGGGTTTTTGTTTTGAAAATTGGGAACTGTGATTAATGGTACCATACTAGAACTCTATCCTGAGATATAATTCTGTCTCAAGCAGTATTAGAAGACTTTATTGCTTAATTTTAAATATTTAATTAATATTTACTATTTAATGTAATTGGTTTTGAGGCAGTTTGTGTAGGCATCATAAAAATAGATGTGAATTCCGTGGAGTTCTTGTTATGCAACTTCACTTCCTCTCCTTCCTTTCTCCTACCCATTTTGTTCACCTTTTATAAACATATTTTTGTTTAGAGGAATATTACAGGTGAGGCCTTGCAGCCTAAACATTTCCTATAGGAAGTCCTGTATCTTCTGTTCTAGATGAACTGTACTTCTCAATAATTACATTTCTAAAGGCCTCATATTTTGGAAAAGTTTCGTGCTGGTCTGTTTCACAAATAAATTAAATCTAACCCAGGGTAGTTACAGTACCTGGATGATGGCATGACTACTTAGAAGAAGGATAACATACTCTTCTTCTGTTCAGGAGAAAGGCTCTAAGCCCCAGCCTGAACTGCTCTGTAATGGGTGTCATGCATTTCAGAAGACAGCTGAATCCACAGTTTTTCTGCCCAAATGAAGAAGAAAATGAAGGGAATTCACTAGATAAATCAGACCAAATGCTCGCTTATCTCTTAGTTATCTGGATAATCGCCCATCTTCCGTTTACATGTTTGCTCTGTGTCGATCTCTAAATATAGATTAAGACATCACAGTATGTCCAGGACCCATGTGTATCCTGTGAGTTTTCACATTGTTTTCCCACTTGTGTTGGTTTTTTGCAAGGGTGACAGAGAAGCTCTGGTGGTTTAATGTAGTGAGGTTATTGTGCCTGATGGCAATGACAGGGAAGTTGATTAGGGTTACCTCCACTGACGCAGTGAACAAAAATGCAGATTGAGTAACTAGCTTTTGCTTTGATCCCTTTACAGTTTGACAAATACCCTACAAAAGTTGACCCATTCTACCGGCACAGTGTGAGTTGCATTACCATGCTACACATTCAATGTAACTGCTTTTGCGTTCATGTGCTTTTGCCACAGATTGGTAAATGCCTAGCGGCTTCCTTAATCATCTTTGCAAGAGTTCCCATTGCGCCTTGTCACTCTGGATGCTTGCTTTTGTGGCAGTTTGCTTTTGGTAAAGATGCAGTATTATCTTCTGAATCAAAAGATCATAAGCACACCCAAGATTTAAAGCAGGTGGGACTTATTGGAGCCTCCATCCTGCAACGGGGGTGTCTGTGTGGAGTCTTCAGAGGTCTGGGACAGTAAAGTCACAGCATGTCAGCCATCAGTTGAAACTCCATCACTAAATACAAAGCCCCTTATCTTTTTGAGTCATAACTTTAAAAAGATTTATCCTTTAAATATAGAGTCCTCTTCAGCATGGCTGATTGTGCTCTCCTGAGCTTATGTCAATTTGTTAATAAAAATATCACTTAATTAAAAGAATTCTTAAAATTGCTGGTTTTCTCTAAAGTCACTCTTTATATGAAAAAATCACATGGTTTATCCAGAAGATAAATTGGTGCCAACCTGAGTTATCAGTTCATTTATACAATAGTTTCTCTATACAAAGGACTTGACTGTTTTACAATGATATTTTGATTATGGGGTGAATACTGCATCATTTTTATCTGAAAATTTGCAAGTTTCTTTGCTTTATAGTTTATATTTTTAAGTAAAACCAGGAAAAAAAGATTAATGGTTGTTCGTAGCCATGTTGAGTCACCATGTGTAACCATTTTTCTTTGGTTTGTAGATAGTATTATTTCAGTGTAAAGGCTACTTAATAGATCAGCAAAGAATAAATTCATCCACGCTTTAAATTACTCAAGAGTGTAGCTGAGAAGTCAAGACTGGAAAACACTAGAAATGAGTTAATTCTTCAAAGGCATTAAGAACTAATAGGAGGAAATCCTCTTCAAGAGGAATTAAAAAGTACATGTGAGTGACTTGTTCTCCACCAATCCACCCTGTTTTGCTCAGCACTATGACACAAAAGCTTTTTTAAGTGGACTTTCAAAATCCTGTTGCCTGTGTGGGTTGTTCTTGGGCTTGCCCACAGTGTTGCCATTGTGCCCCCAATCTGTGCTTTGCTGACCTAAATGAGGGCCCTACTAAGGAAATAACTCTGGTGGAAAGCTCAGTGTGCTCAAAGCATAGCTCCGATTCCATGGGTCCTGGGTGTGAGATAGAGCACGTGCCTGGAGGCCCGAGCCTGCATAGTTGATGTTTTATTACTTATGAGCTTCAGGAGTTCAGTCAAGAAGGGAATAGTGAACTACATTTGTATTCTAAGATTTCTGTAATGGAATAAACCAAAAGGAAAGTGGCAAGAACATATAATTTTATTGTAAATATTAAAGGAAAAATGCCCACCTGGAGGCAGAGTTATAGAAATTTGAGTGTGTTTTAGTGTGGCATGTATTTAATTACTCTGCTTCATACAGTGTGCTTTGGGAGAATTATTTCATATTATTAGTTGTAGCAGATAATATATGAAGTACTTAGTCTCCCCTACTTTGGGGATTAAGACGTTATAAGGGGAATTAAGATGCAATGCACTCAAGTATCTAAAACACTATATTAGACTTAAAAGTAGTTGTAAATGAGGGCACTTGGCTTGCAATCTCTGTCTAAGTGGATTTAGTTCAATATCAATTACTCTGGAAAACTTTGCTGCATCATAATAAGGGAGCAAAATGAAATAAAGACCAATAAAAAAATACAAGTACGTGCTCTGCAGACAGGATTAGGAGATGCAAATTTCAGTTGTTACCAAAAATAGGAAACATAAACGCATTATTAAGAAAAGCTTAAATTGTATTTTTAATGTACTATACAATCCTGGAGAGGGGTGTTACTTCTATGTCTGTATGGTGCTTTGATCGAAGGAAACAATCAGAAAAATAGAATCTCTGAGATAAATTTTTAAAAGGAGGGAAAGGTGTTTGCATTTTCCTTTTCCCCTTAGTTATGTCCTTTGTAAGCTAAGGATTCAAGAAAATTCGTATTCTTCATTCACAACTATTATTATTCTATTATTATTATTAGTTGAGTAGCCTCCACTGAGCTTGCTGATTAAATAGCAGATCAGTGGTACCTTGGTTCATGAACTTAATTTGTTCCGTGACTGGAAAAGATGGCCACATTTATGTTCATGCAGGAAAGATGGCCGTGGTTGTGTTTGTCACCCGATGCAGAATTTGCAAATGCAAACAAAATTTTGCCAAAATTTGGCGCAGAAGTGTTCATGAACCAAGGCAGCACTGTATTCAAAACCAGGCATAAGAATTTGGACTTCACATGTTAAAACAGAAGGCCTCTAAGTACCTCAGCCTCTGGGAAACAATAATATTCAGACCAGATAGTGATGACCCAGGCTTATCACTAGCTATAGCAGATGCTTCTGTAGTCCACCTTCTAGAAAATTGGGCAGCTCCGCTTAGAGTATAATTCTGAGTCATTTTATTTTCCCCTTCCACAAATATTTGTCATCATATTAGATAAGAAAGTTAAATTGTCCTCTGGAACTGCCACTTCTAGAATAACCTAATGAAGCAAGGATTGTGAATATGTTCTCATTTCCTCAAACTATTAAAAATCTAAAAGTACTAATTGAGTTTTAATGGTATAAAATCCTGGCATTCATAAAGACTCGCTTCTTTTTCTTCCTTTTTTTCTAGTTTTTTTATTCTTTTCTCTTTTTTTCTAATTAACTTGTAATTATCTGGGCCTCTTACTTGGCTCAGCTCCCCTCCTGTTTTTGATATGCATTAAAACCTCCAACCATTTAGGACTTCTGTGCAATTTACCAATTAATAATTAGAAAAGCTCCCTTTCTAATGATGTCCTCATCTGGGACATCATTTGTTGGCTGATTGATTCTGAACTACTTTTAACTTTTTAAGTTAAGCATTCATGGCACATCTGTGTGATCATTTCATCGTGGCTTCTTGACTAATAGCATCAAACTGAGATTACTTGGCTTGCTAATGTTGATGTCTTTCTATGGGAAGGGAATTTGAATATATCACTTGCCTCCTACTAAAATGGTTTTTCTCCCTCTCCGTCTTTGGCCACAGCTCTTCCATTCCTATCCTCCTGCAGTATCGGGCATCCCCCCCATGATCCCACCCACTGGCCCTTTTGGTTCACTACAAGGAGCATTTCAGCCCAAGGTAAGAACCTTACAGTGAAGACATAGAGGCACGTTTCTGACAGAGTTCCCAGTTAGGCATGCAGTTGACTTCTGCATCTTGCCTGTCCCGTGACTAATTTGTCAGACATCAAGTGACCATGAGGATGAGGGTGAGAATATTTTTTTCAAGTCCATCTAGTTTTAAATCTCAGCAAAAATTTTACGTTTCAATCTGTACTACCACGTAATCTCAGTTGGGCTAAGATTTTCTGTGCTCTGTGAAATACGCAGAATATATACATAGACATATGTTAGTTTTTTCTTCCAATACTGTGACATACGCTTCTAGTCAGGAGTGCTATGAAATGTCAGACATATGTGCACCAAGTTGTCCTTGATTCTAATGGAAGGGGGTGGGGGACAAAAGTTCCCAAACTGAAACTGCGTCCTGTGCACTGGATCAGGGGAAGATTCTTCTGTGACTTCTCCCTCACTATCCTCATCAGCCTGGTCTCTCTGCCTGCAGGTGGAGGGCCACTGCCTACCTTTGGATACTGTGTCCCTCTCTGCTTGCTCCCGGTCTTCCCACTCCTCACCATGGTCACACTTGCCAAATTCAGGAGTCTGTCATCTGTTTCCAACATCCTAGGGAGAAACTAGGGCCTTATCCTTCATACTAACTACATTCTTTTCTACCTAGTCAGTGATACGATGTTCAGCTTGGGCTACAGTTACCTCTGAAGGTCAATAAGGAAGAATTATTTTCCAAATTATTTTAAAATGTATTTTGGTTCCTTTTTTACTTTCCTATAAAAAGTGAAATATACTACTCCTGTTGGTAGTGTTCTCAGTTTTAAAGTGAGATAGTTTACTCTGCGTGTGTGTGTGTGTTTATGTGTGTGGTTTTCTTTTTTCCCTTCATCCCATTTCTAAGACAAACATGCATTTTGGGCCATAATCTCTCAGGAGGAGCGCACAGTCTATTTTCAAAGGCATATTGCCTTAAAACTAGAAATAGGGAAAAAAATTAAAAGGCATTGGGGTGGGATGGCTACACCTTCAAAATCACATGCATTGGCATGCAATTGCAGTTTATAGGTTATATTTACCCCGGGCTTTTATGATGGCCATAGTAAAAGCCTCCTATCTCAAGATAAGATAATGGTGATTTTAAAACTCCTTCCTCCCCATCTACACTTCACTACTCCCTCAGACCCTGATCTGTCCCCTCTAGTTTGAGACAAATCTCTGGTGCATCCCCAAACAGACTGGTAGGTCATTTAATAAATTAGACTATTTCCCTCACTCACAATTATCCAATCACACAGAAAACTACATCTGGGCAAGAAAGTGTCTCTCCTGGTGTTGAAATAGGCCTTTCCAGGCCATCTTCCTGATTGAATATGTAGATTGCGGTTCATTAGTGGAGTTCTTCATATGTATGCAAATCAGGCTGTTAACAACTCCAGCTTAATTGTTAGTTGTACTGCAGCTGATTGCTTTCTTTCTTTCATTCCTCTTTACCCCTTTCTCCTTGTAGGCAAGCTCATGCCTAAACTTGAGCTTTTTCTATGCGAGTTAACTTGTGTGAGAGTATTCATAGAAGTTGTGATTTCTTAAATAAAATGACCAGTGCAAGTTTTCAAATCCTCTTCCCACAAGATGGTAGTGACTCCACCCAAAGTAGACTTTGTGTTGTTGCTAATTCAAAGGACAAAAGCCTGCTGATAAGGTTAATATTATTATTAATATTTTTAAATGGTAGTGGGAATAGGAAAGACAAAAGCAAAATTTAATAGTAGATCTCCGTGGTCCCTAAATTAGGTTCTCTTGTCCCATTTCCACTGCTGCTAATGAGTAATTACTGAGTGTAATTTCTTGTTATTGTCTGCCAGTTAAAATTTAGAGAGTTAGCTTAATGTCTGTAAAATACTGTCAGCTATTCTGATGGGAAGCACCTGATACTGCAAATTATAATGTTCACTTAAGCATTTCTTGCAAAAAAAAAAAACAGCATCAGTACTGTGGGTTTAGGGAAGAAGAGAGGTTTTAGGAGGCAGCATTTTCGCGTGTTGCTTCTCTTTTGGTTCCTGTGCTTTTTATTGCTGTGAAATAAGCTGGGCGTCTCCAACATAGGATGAATGCCTTGGTGAAAGACAGCAGACAGTCTCCGGCCAGCCAGAGCCCCTGCAGAGAACAGGGAGCAAATTCTTGTCCAGAGCATTTGTGGTCGCTGAGAAAAATGGGTTTCAACCCAGAATGAAACAAGCAATGAAGTTTCGATTCTGTCATTTAGAATGAAGGAAAGATCTTGCTTTTATGTCCCATGTTCTGTACTTCCTAAGCTGTGGTCTAATTAATTTGTAGACATCCAACCCAATCGATGTCGCTGCTCGGCCTGGGACAGTCCCACACACTTTACTCCAAAAGGACCCGAGGGTACGTGTGCAAAGTCAGGCTTGGTCTCAGGTAACACCAGGGGTGTCTGCACGACCTGCCCACCCGGTACTCACTCTCCCCAGCCCATTTGCAAGTGCTGCTGTTCAGCTGTGAGTTTGTGCAAGAAAGTGCCAGTCACTCTTGATGACAAAGGCTCTCCTGGGGACCTAGAAGTGACACAAGGGGACTGACTTGCCAGTGAGAGAAGACAGGAAGGAAAGGCTTACTTTATGCTCTGAGCCCAGAAATTGGACACTGCTTGTCTGGTTTCTACTTAATCACTCACTCTTCTCCGTTTACACCTTGAATTTCTCTTACACAAAAGAAATAACTACAAAATTTTTTTTGAATGGAAAAGCACCAAATGCTTTTCTTCCTGGAAGTCAGGACTCAGCCCCCACCTTGCCTGAGGTCAGGAAGTTGTAGGATCAACCGCACTGCACTTGTGTCCCTCTATTTTTAATGTTGCAAGGATCCTTTGTGCTCTAGAGCTAAATAAAATATCCATTATCCTTTGGTTATGTTATTTATCAATAACTTATTATGCCACCTATGTCCAAAAAAAGAATTTGAAGTTATGCAATAGACATAATCTTGTCTATCGATTTTTGTTTGTATTTGTCTTTATAGTAAATGCAAAAAAAAATATATAAAAGATTCCCTTTTTCCAATATTGTTTTTCCCTGAGTAAAGACAATCAGAAATTGATGATGAGAGTTAGGCAGAACTTAAAAATGACCCCACCAAGTCAGTATTTTTATGATGCTTACTGAGCTTCCTGAAGACATCTAACACGTGTAAGTGACCACAGTTGTGGAAGGGAGGGTGTTGCCAAAGAGAGCCTGGTTCTCCTGTCTGGGGAGGACAGTTCTCCCTAGATAGCGCCCAGCCTCCAGCTTCCTGTGGCTCACTCTGTGTGGTGTGGAAGACACTCAGCATGGGGAGCCCAGGCAGAGCGCAGTGCCGCAGGGCATGCTGCCATTGATTAAACTTGTACAGGGCCTTGTCAGCCCCGATGTTCCAAGGCCCGGGGAGTGGGGGAGGGGACAGTTGGTACTTTTGATAGTGTGAAAATGGGCTAATTATTCTCTAAAAGGGCTTCATTTAAAAGTAAAATTCTAACATTTTAATTTCCCCTCCTAATGAAGCACTACAAATTTGTTAATTAGAGCAATTGTTTGAGTGACAGGCGTGTAACCAAGTTGTCATTTTCTCTTCACAGTTGACAGATCCTTTCAGACCTATGTTAAGGGTAAGAAAGCTTCTTCTAGAACTGTTTTGCAACCTCTGTTTGACTCCCCGTGGGTTAAAAATACAAGTGTATAACAAGAAAATAAGCTATACTTAAAATAAAAGGTCAGAATAACAGCAGTTGGGTTTTGCAGGTAGTATAATTGAAAATAGCCTAAATTGTTTTGCTTTGAGTATTGGAAGAAGCCAGTCCATTGGCTTTTTTATTCTTATAACAGATAAAATTGAACTGAGTCAGATTCTGGTGTTGGGAGGTCTGCCAGAGGGTTTGGATCGTAAGCGGAAAGATTTAAACTAGAGTCTGAAGTTAATCTTTCTTACCCTTAGAAAATACAAATGTTGGATCTGTTTATTTTGGCTAGTGGCTCCCTTATTCAGAACTAAGGGACATTGGCTTGCCATAACCATTAGACCTATTTCTCTGGTGCAGAAAGAGATATTAGAAGAATTGGTTTGTTTAACATCTTGTTAAAAGCAAAATGTTCCCAAGTCCTGGAGCCTGGCCAGCAGACAGAGTTAGTTACCTGATATGAGGCTGGGTGCGGAGACAAAGGCGATGGCTGGTTGGGTGGAAGATGTATGGACTTCCTGCTCTACATAACCCCTCTCTGATGCACAGTGTCAGATAATTCCATTTTCCCAAAGGGGAAACATCTTTTTCATCACTTAGGTGAGGAAGAGTGTTGTGATTTTTTTTTAATAAAACCATAATTCCATTATAAGAGGAAAGAAATGGTCCTAGATTTAAATTTAAGTATATATTTCAGGAATAGTTTGTTACTACAAAAACCATAAACCTCTGTCCTTTGCCAGTGGAAAATGGCAATGTGTTTTCTTCTCATCCATCCAGTAGTTACTGAGCCTACACTTGGAGCTGAAGGGTAGATTACTTGCCCTCTAGTTGGTAGAAGAGAATCTACATGCAGTTACTCTACTGCTCAGAAGGCAAGGCCGAAAATAATTAGATTTGGATTGATATATACTCCTTATAGGGTGGAAGAGGGACTTGATATCTGCAGAAGCCTAGAGAGCAGGAAGGAAGAAATTCTTTTTTCTTTTCTCTTCTTTTAACTCAGCAGTGAATAGAGCTCACTGACATGAATGGGTAGTTGGCACTTAGTGAAACATTTGCCATCTCTGGGCTTAAATTTAAATGTGATTCATTTCTTTATACCATTCTGAGAGTTAAAAGAAAAACAGTCTTGGGGGAGGTTATGACAGGCCCTGTACCCTTTTCTTGTTTTGATTTGATTCACAGACATTCCCTAATTAGCTCTTCTGAACAGCTGATTTGCATTATAGCATGGCAGCATTTGTTAAGTAGGACTTCCTACTCTACCAGACCTGCCAGCTGGCACCAGAAAAGAAGAGACACAAAGTGGGCTTTCGCCATCTTGTCCTTGGTAACCAGGACAAGATGCGTTTCCTGAGCTATAACTGCCATCTCAAACCCAAGTGGGGCAGTGGGGGGGCAACTAACTGTGACTCTCATGACTGTGCATTGGACAGAGGCTGATGGGAGGCACTTGGAGGGCACAAAGCACTCTTGTTGTTTCATGAAAAAAACCTCTGCAGCCAAGATCTGCTGAAAGCTTGGGGGAGACTGAAGGTAGTTTCTCTGAAGTGTCTTTCTTCTGACCACGTTGCTCTTTCTTGTTCCAGAAACCAGGGAAGTGGTGTGCTATGCATGTTCACATTGCCTGGCAGATTTACCACCATCAGCAGAAAGTCAAGGTCAGTCTGGCTTCCTGGTTCAGGGCGGATGGGGGTGGGGAGGAGTGTGTGGTCTGTGTGGAACACCTGAATGGGATCTAAAAACCCACAGGCAGATAGGATCAAGTCCCTCTTGGAAAAGCCATTGAGCAATCTTATTAGTAATTAGGGAAACAACCAGCAAAATTACAAAACAAGCAAACTGATGATACCCTGGTATAGTTTTCCTTTTTGATGACTGTGTCATCTTATTGACCAAAAGGGCTTAAATATGGATTAAATCCTAAAATAAAGGTTTGGGAATCTAATTATAGTGAGCTAAAAGTAGAATATGAAAGACAGTAGCTCAGAAGAGCCAACAGTGAATGTTTTGTTTTGTTTTGTTTTTAGGAAATGATCGGTATATACTTTTCATTTTATGGCTTTGGAAAAATGAAAAAGAGTTAATCTATACCCCATATGAAGAATACCATACTGAACATCCATTAGCAATACATATAATTAAGTTACTCTTCTAGAAGCAGCATTGGGTTTGCAGTAACCTTTCATTAATCCTCTGGTGACCATTGTCAGGCATTAGAATATAGTCAGTGCTGCCAAACCACCTTCTGGCCAGTTACCCTGTCTGTAGGTGAATTTGTGCATGTGCATGTGTGCTTGTGTGTGTATTTCCTCATATAGTTGAATACATCCTGCTTTTCTAAGCCTTTGTAACACAATATGCAAAAGAACAAAACTAGGGAACCTGACATGGGGCCAGTACTTGGCTTAAGGGACAAAGTAACTGACAAGTCTAGATTTTAAATCTGGGTAACTGGCTGGAAAAATGGTAGAAAACATTCATTCTGGTCATTGCAGTAAGCTTCAGTTAATCCCTTGCTTCATGGACAAGCTTTTGTCACTTAATCCATGGGTTCCTGAGCAAACTCTTCACCCTAACAGCATGTGAGAGCCATCGTGAGAGTAGTCCAAGAGGCCAGTATGCAGAGAAGAGTGAGTCATCAGAGAAGTGCTCTTGGAAGGATGCCCTGACTCCACACAAGGAATGCAGGCATTATGTACTGCAAACACATACTAATAAAAAATAAAAATGGAAACCAAATGAAACCTTGTTCAAAGAGAAAAGGCAAAGCTCAGTAAATGAAAAAACCTCCCTAAAGCATTTTGCTTCATTGCCAAACACCTGTTCTTTCTCCTACCATCCCATCAGTGAGTTTTGCTCACTTTTACTTTATTGTTAGGCAAGGTTTAATTAGAAACCTTGTGGTTTAACTTCGCTGGAAAATGTGCGTGCTCAGAAGAGCTAACTAGATTTTGATGATTAGTTCAATTCACTTTTGGTTCTGGATGGCGTGGTTAGCAGAACAGTAGGTAAAACATGTTTTCCTTTTAACTCCTTTGGTTTACAGCAGTGAAAGATGTTGTATGTGCCACTTTAGCAACTTCTTTTCCATAAAAATGCCCCCAGTGACTTAAACTTTCATTATCCCAATTCAATTAGCAAGACCTCTTGAACAGGAGATGACTCCGTTCATCTTCCCTTCCCGGCAAACTATTTGTAATCCCCAAGCTCCATTTTGCTTCATGGGCCTAAGTTGTGTTTAATGAAACTGTGCTGTGTACCATGCAATATTAGCACTAAATAATTTGGCAACCAAATTAAAAGAGGGACTCAGAATATTTTTACAGATGTATAATGAGTCAGGAGCTTGGTTTGGGGGTTTGACTATTACTTTATAGTGGGACTCTCATAGTGTTCCCTACAGATTTGGGCAGAAGTCACACGGTCCCTTCTCTGGAACGTTCATTTACTCATTCTTTTAGTGACTCGCCATGTACATACTAAGAGTCTGCGAGCCTCAGATTACTTAGCATGCCAGTCAGGGGACACTCATCCCTCCTGTCCTCTGGTTGCTTAAGTGCTTGGTAGGGAGGATCAGTGCATGTGTGCATCGGTGACGGAAGTGCTGTGTATTTCCAAAGGGTATCACTTCCTGCATAGGGTGTGATGGATGAGCAGGGTTTTGACCTGCAGCAAAAAGGGAAGGAAACTTCCCTCATCTCTGACCCTCACACCATGCTCTGTCCGCATAGATGTTTTATCAGCTGTCATTGCACAATAGGGCAAAGATCACTCAGAACATAAGAACGTTTGGGGTAGGGCAAGAATGGGGCCAGCCAGAGCACCAGACAAGGCCGGAAGGTTGGAAAAGAAAGTCAGAAGCAGGTTGGGGGTAGTGAAAGAGCAGGAGAGTGGTGGGAAGGCAACTCGCAGCCTCAGAGCCCAGGGTTCCAGGCCACCAGAGGAGAGGAGCAGGGCTGGTCTGGGGATGCATAAAGCAGATCCTGAGAGGGAAGAATCCAGAAGGTGGGGCAACCCATAAACAACTCAGGGCTGCCCACATCCAGAACGATACCCAGGGGAAGATTCTGGGCCAGTGTCTACAGAACTGGAGGAAGGTAAACTGAAGGATTAGCTTCAGGACAGATGGCGAGGACTCCCAACCAAAGAGGGTATCAGTGTTTAGTGGGGCAAGCTGACCTCCTCCTCCTCCTCCTCCTCCTCCTCTTCAGGTAATTGGGAGTAGAAGGAAAAGAAGAGACATATTAGTTAAATCAATACCTCTCCTTTGTTTCATTTGTTGTTGTTTTTAAAATATGCAAGCAACAGTGATCATTTGAAAATTAGCTTGTAGGCATGCAGATATTTCTTCATAATGTTCAGTTACTAATGTGCTGTGATCTATTAAACTACAGCCAAGTCATTAAACAATTCATTTACACAGTAGATTATTCATGCCGAATTCCTAATAAAATGAGCCTTAAAATACTATCATCTTAAAACTTGCTAAAATGGTCCTTTATAGTAAAGTAATAAACTACTCCAGAAGTAGTACCAGTCTGAATAAACAGCATACGCTCCTGTTCCTTAAATCGTGCAACCTCAACGACAGAACACCCACTTACCACTTGCAGTTTCTGATGTGAGAGGCAGAGCTGACCCCCACCACTGGCCTCTGTTAGGTGACCTGTTTTCCGGCCCCGAGAGAGTTCAGTGATTTCTGAGGTGCTTCATCTCACAGTGTTTGTAAAACTTGCACCTGACTGGGGCTCAGCACCCAAGTGCGCCCTTCACAGAATTTAGTCTGTCAGGCTCAGCCTCTTCGTTAATATCTTTCTTAGGAATTCATCTTTGTTCCCCTTGCTGCTTTAGAAACAGATGCAGTCAGACCCACATAAGTTGGACTTTGGACTGAAACCTGAGTTCCTGAGCCGCCCGCCAGGCCCCAGTCTCTTCGGAGCCATCCACCACCCCCATGACCTGGCCCGGCCTTCAACTTTGTTCTCTGCCGCTGGTGAGTTCAGAGGAGGAGAGGAGAGCTGAGAAATGTAGTTCTCAGGTAGCTCAGTCACTGCCTGGAATGATACGTCAGGCACTCCGTCTAGGCGCCCTCTTTCACTAAAGAAGGAAGAAGAGACCATCTTCCTTCATGGGGACTCATACTGCTTGGCTTATTATTTGCCTCTACATCAAACCAGTAGAACTCTCAGGCATGCCAGATACTTTTGAAAATGATCAAAAAACTTTGCAAGGGCAGATCAGAAGGAAGCGGTGCCAGGAATTACAAAAGGATGTAGTCACCCTTCCTCTAGGTTCCCAGAGTGCTCAGTGACTTTGCACCATACCACTCGGTCACACTGTGTTCCCAGGGTCTGAGGGATAAAGAAATGCAATTAAGATAGCTGCAGATGGTCTGTAATCAGGAAGGGGGACCTCTTGGGTACTGGCTGGATTTCTTTGCTACAGAATTCATATTGCCTGGCTGCGAGTTGAAGTGGAGGAAATTTAGGGAGAAAGCTGTTCTGCTTGTTAGACCTGTGACCTGTCCATTGGATTTGTAATTCACCTAACCTCTGAGAACACACACTCCCAAGGGTCCCTTGCATCTATGGGAGGGAAAGTTGGAGAGCATAGGATCAAAGGAAGCACATCAGAGAACTGCCCCTTTGTGCCAGTTACGTGCAATCCAAAGGCAGTGGCCATACAGAATATTCAGGGGATGGGAACAGGACTCCTCATCATTTGGCCTTTCCTAAAGCTATTTTTAATGCATGCTGCCTGGCACAGCCTCTGCACGGTAAATACTCAAAAAACAGTGGCATTGAACTTGTTCTAGTAACAAGCGCCATAACTTCATACCCACTGTGCTAAGTAGAATTTATTCTTCTCTACATCAATAGTGAAGGGCTTGCTGTTTCTGACCCTTAGGGAACAAGTTTCATATCCATCCTGCCGGCTGCCTTCCCAGGCTTTGATCCAAGATTCAATTTTGGTGGACCCATGGCTCTTCCATTGAGGAAAAGAGAAATAACCCACATTGCAAGCAATCATCATTATTGTAGACCTTGTTGCCAGTGCAAGTGAATCACCCTTGAGGGTAGATGGAATTTGCTAAGGTCTCAGGTTTTTCTGTCAGTTCCGTCGAGGGATGTATTTGAAGGCTTCGTTACCATGGCATCTAGCTCTGAGACAGGGCTACATTAAGAGCAATTTTTGGACAGAAATGGAGAAATTTCTCTCTGGCTTTCATTTGAGCCAAGTGGATGAATTGGCTTCTTTTGCTTCATAATTCTGGAAGTGTAGACATCCCCAGGGGCCTTAGGCCGAGCAAGGCTCTGTTCTTCATTGAAGCATTAATTAGCTTGTACCACAGAGACAGTATGTGGCCAAAATAATATGTAACTGGCAACACCAGTAGTGCTGGGTGAATGTTCTGGAGTAGATTTGCCCCGTGGAGGCAGGGTATCATTTTAACACTTCACAGGTGGAAAATAAGCCACCATCTAGGGCTGGATGGACCTTCAGCTTCTAAGATTCTGTCACCATGACTGACATTTGTGCCATACTGTGTGTGTCTTATTCTTCTACCTCAAGCCCATAAGATCCTCACAGCCCAGGGAACCACAACATAACTTCTAAACTGAGTCCATGAGAGTACGACAAGGGACAGACCTACATTTCACCTGTGTTCCTGAGGGAATTTATATTTGTTTACAGGAACCAAGACAAAGTACAAGAGATTATGAAACTTTCCTAGTAAGCTAATAAATCAAGGCCCTGTTTATACTCCCATTTTGGAAGGTAATCTTTTTACTTTCGCAGTATTGGCTTTTGCCCCAAATGGTTGTTTGGTAAAACTTTTAACTGGTGTTTATAACTCAAGCTTACTTGTTAAATTTAGCCACTTTCATCTGCTCTTGGGGACTAAAGCATGAAATGAACTGAGAGCCTTCTTGAGATGACCTTGGCAGGGCTCTGGTCCCTAGCTGCCATCTCCACTGAGGAGTGTGTCCACAAGCTCGATGCTCAGAGCTCTTAGAAACATTGTCCCCCACTGCTCACAGGTGCCCACCCTCTCTTTCCTTTCCCAGCATCCTTCAGCTGAGAAAAGGATTTGAGGCAACTCAAACAAATGCATGTTATACATAACATAAAGTAAAGGAGGAAATGGAGATAAAGGGAAAATGTAAGGAAAGAAGACTTCTAAGTTAGATCCTTAAATTCTCTGGCAGGCAGAGATAAGACTAAGAGAGTCAGTTATACATTTTTTTTTTTTTTGGGTGTTCAAAATGAATGAATAAAACAGCGTTTCCTGGCACTGAAAACTGAGAGACATCAGAGTCCTTCATCTCCCAGAACCTCATGTAACTTGGAACAAGGCATGTCCAAGAATTGACTTGTAGACCCCTCAGCCTACATGTGGGAGAGCTAATGTGCTCTTAAGGGAAAGAGTGGGGACTCTCTGGAGGCCAGAGCAGTGCAGCCCAGACCTGAGCTTCAGGATAGCCCCTTTTCAAAGCAAGAAGGTCTCTGCCCCAGATGCTCTGTGAAAAAGAGTCCTCAACCACTTGCTCCCCTCTTAGAGAAAGTGGGTCAGGTCCTTCAGTGGAGGGCCTTGCTTCACACTTGCTAACCCAGTATTTCTCCAGACTTCCTTGGCTGTAGACCCATCCTCCACGCCCCCAGCACTCATCTCCATGTTTCTAATTTTGTGTGCTGTCAGCTTTCAAAAGCAGAGCCTGTTTTGATGGTGGTCAGCGCCTCTAGGAAAGAGGAGAGAGGGTTTGCTTTCCACTTTGTAACAAGCACTTTTTGTTTGACCTAGTGTGTGGCTGGCAGGTTCTGGGCGGGCCTTAGCCACATCCCTATGTTAACATTCGTGCCTGTGGGCACCTGAGCAAGCTGGAAACAGTCACTCTCTAGAGAATGGCTTTGGTGACATCGGACTTGGTTATATTTGACCTGATAGGTGCTGCACATCCAACCGGAACCCCCTTTGGGCCACCTCCTCATCACAGCAACTTCCTCAACCCTGCTGCCCACCTAGGTAAGTCAACACTCCATAGTGAGAACTGTGTGTGCACCTCAGATGTGCCAGGCTGTGTTTCTGGTGCCCGGACTTCACTGAGTGGCATGTCTGTGACAGTCCCCCATGCCTCACCCACCGCTGGAGAACGATGGTGTCCTGAACACATGCAACCACCTTCAGGATCTGAGGGCCTTTTACACTGTTCTCCTTCAGTGGTAAATCTACACTTAGCTTATATCTGGAGTTATCGGGGTACCTTGGGGGAGCTGTTCCTGGGTATTTCCAGACCCCAAGTTTAGCACTGCCTGGCCCCACCCATTAGAGAGAGATGGTGAAATCCTGCCCCATGGCTAAGGGCACCTCCAGGAGATGGAAGAAAGCCAACATGATGCTGTAAAGGATTTTTTATTTTGGTTACCTCACATTTTACTGCCCTATTAATGTGTCTCTTCCTAGTAAGGGTTTATGCTTCCTACGGTCTTTATGATCTGGTATTTTCTGCAAGCACACAAGCTCATAACACCACCAGACTATAGATGGTTTTTCATCATCCAGAGATTTACTCTAAGATAGTTAGAACCTGCAGAGTCCATTCCTGGGAGAGGGGTCTCTAAGCAGGAAGGCAACAGAAAATCTTGAGTAGTGCCCCCCTGCCAAAGGAGGAACAAGGCAGAGTGCAGCATTCTAGAAAAAGCACCCTTGTAAGCATTTTGCTAATCAGTACCTAAACTCAAGAGCAATACAAGCCTTTCACCCAGTCCGCAAAAGTAAGAAGCACAGAGAAGGCTGGGACCCCTGTTTGAAGTGCACGTCCCTCACTCAGTAGAGCCCCTGACCATTTCCTTCTTCCCCAATCTTGTTTGCAGAACCTTTTAATCGGCCGTCTACATTCACAGGCCTCGCTGCAGTCGGTGGCAACGCCTTTGGGGGACTTGGGAACCCTTCAGTTAGTGAGTACCTCTAACTTTCTCAAATCTGCCTTGGACTGTTTCTCTCCGCTGACTTGAGAATGGTTCCAGGCCTTTTTAGATAAAAGGACACTGTTCTCTTGGGAAACAAACTTAGGTTCTGTCATTGCAAACAGCAGGCCAGGGAGAGCAATGGGGTTAGGTGCAAGTGTGCAGAGCCCCCCTTCTAAAGAGATCCCTCGCACAGCATGTGGTACTGAGGGTCAAGAAGGGCAATAGAGATGATTATTGTCTGCCAAAAGCTTATATATGTTTATCGCCCATCTACATCCCATTTCTGCTAGTCAAGATTTTGGCTATAGCGCTCATGGAAGTAAAAACACTTTTAAATTTTATCTTGCCCTTGGCACTGGTGGGGTCATAACAGACATACTGAAGAACAGCAGAATCAAAAGAAGAGCTGGCAGCACTGCATACTCCAGGACCTGTGGGGAACTATGTAGCTTTCAACTATTAAATAGTTCATCTTGAATAGGAAGAGAGTTGCAACCCATGCTCATGTTCTGCACAGCTTTTAGTCACCAAGTCCTCAGCTGCCTTTTCTGTTACCACATTTCATGTTTCTGGAGCACAGGAGACCTAAGATGGAGCTCTGAGGCCCCACTCACCATGAAGTTTTGATTTAAAATTTAGCATGGTGAACTGCATCAGATCAGGTCAAGGTCCCATGTCGTCTCAGGGGACACTGGTTTTGGTTCACTCATGCTGGAAGGAATAGCGGTTACCTTAGCAGCACGGGCACAGGAAACCACGTGTTCTACGTGGAGTTGAGTTACCAATCTGAGTAGCACTATCATCACACGCCTCCTGCATGGTTGGAATTTCTGCATGCACCAGATATGTCTGATTAGGTGAAAATGACACCCTTTTGGCCCCTTCCATCTTTAATCCCTCACCCCCCACCCCACATCTGCTTTTGGTCTTTTTTAAAGAAAGAAAGAAAAAAAAAAACTGTGAGCTACATCTCCAGTGTAGGACAAGAGTTCCTCTAATGAATTTGTTAATCTCCTTTCCTTTTCCAGCTCCCAATAATATGTATTCATTTTAACTCTGAATGCTGTTAAAAGTTTTTTGGTAAGTACCTTCATTACAGCAGATTATATAATTTCTCTTAAACCTTTTTGTTCTCCACTTCACCATTTCAGCACCCAACTCAATGTTCGGCCACAAGGATGGCCCCAGTGTGCAGAGCTTTAGCAACCCTCACGAACCCTGGAACCGGCTGCACCGAACGCCTCCGTCGTTCCCGACCCCTCCGCCCTGGCTGAAGCCAGGGGAGCTGGAGCGCAGCGCGTCCGCTGCAGCTCATGACAGAGATAGAGATGTAGATAAACGAGACTCATCCGTTAGTAAAGATGACAAAGAAAGGTACGGAAAGAAATCGCTCTCGAGTCCCAATGGGGGAGCCCACTCTGGGCCACGTAGCAATGGAACTGGCCACCCACCCTTCCCGGCCCAGCCTCATGCTTCAGCTGCCCCCAGCCCCAGCTCCCACCCAGGCAGCAAGGCCCCTCTCAGCCCCAGAGCCAGCACCCCAGGGCACTCAGTGTCGTGACCTCAGAATAGGACTCTAGCACAATGAAAGATGCCTGCCTCAGAAGCAGCGATACATGCAGGATATACAAAGTCCCCGGAGCATCCATGTGTCCAAACATAAATCTTCCTCTATGAGACAAGAGAGTTGCAACTTCGGACCAAACACACACAGCATGAATCAATGCCATATTTGCTTTCAAGTTCGTGCAGTCCATTCAATCATCCATAGGTTTTTCTCTTTCTCTCTTTCTTTTTTGTTTGCATTTAGAAAGTCATGTTTGCATTGCCTCATCATATTTTTCTCAAGTTTCGTTCAAACTCAAAGCCTGGGACTCACAGATAACCAGTAAAACCTTAATAATCTAAATTTTGAGAAATGCCAGCAAAAGTTTTGGGTTGGTTTTGCCAGTGAATAATAAATTCTGTTAACCATTATTGTTTCGGTACGTGGTAACCCCTGCCTAAAAGAAATTAGCCTTAAAGAGGAAATGTCTCAATAGCATTTTTTTCTAAAGAATGTCATAAGCATTCTTGACAAAGGGTCTCTTCTCTTTTTTTTTTTATATGCTCTATTCCTTCTGAATTAATGGGTAAGCAGGGATGTACCAAATATGCTTAACAAGAAATAACTGATGACCACTTACTTCGGAGTCAAATTTGATCCAAGTCTTCCATTTTTCTTTACTGTATATATTCCGTGTATGTGTGTATGTCCTGATAATTTTTAAATGTTCAGCTTTGCAGGCTGTAAGTATGGCAGGTTAAGATAACGCCTCACAGATCATTATGCTATGTTGATCGATCCTTTTTTCACAAAATAAAAAGATAAATTTCCCATCACGCCCATATGATCAGCGTTCTCTTAACCAGTAAGGATACTGCTCTGAGCTGTAGCCTGGCAAAGTGGTGGCCCAGAATGGCTGAGCTGCAGCCCTGAGCTCCAGATAACCTGCTACTAAGCAGAACGCAGGATATGGGCGGCACATCTTCTCAGATTTGTCTTGATGGCATCAGAATGGTCTCTCGGATTGAAGTCAGGAAACTTAATAAAATATACTCTTCTTCCAACCTTCCCTTTAAGGTCAAGGGGGCAACTCCTGAATCTCCCCCTGTGGCCACCACTTTTCCCCACCATGTGTCTTGCGTCTCTCTTCCTCCCCTCCCTTTGCAGGCCCCGTCTTGGGGCTCTGCTAAGACTTGCCTGATACTTCATTCTAAGTCTTCGAGTTTTACCTTGTCCTGCACTTTCTATTCCCATCCAAGGCAGGTCTCTAGCACTCTTGTTTCCATGCACGTCCGTGGATGTTCTCCCACTTGTTCTATTTCCCCCACGAGGCTCTGTGTTTGTGGCCCCACTTTTCCTACCTATCCTGCCTCCAGCTGCTGCCCAGATTGTGGCTTCCTTACCTTCCTCTGATGCCCAAGAGTCCAGGAACTCAGTTTTCTTTCAGATCCTCGCTTCACTTTAGAGCTCGTTCTGTGTCCGCATGCTTTACTCCAAAAAGAGGCCTCTGCACACAAGAGTGTGTCAGCAGCACAAGACCCCTGAGTTTACCTTAAACTCTGCCTTCCAGTGCTCTATGTGCAGTGCTGGAAGGAAGGTCGTGCCCGCATTTGGACCCTTAGGTCGTGACTCAACACCGCCTGATCCTGAAAGTCTGGGCATCACCAACCCAGTGGCCACATGGCCCATCCCGGCTCTGAAAGTTTTATGATCCCGATTGAGGCACTCGGCTCTTAAATACAGATAGAGCAATGTCCCCCAGGCTCTCTCACTCACCCACGGAGCTTCCTCTGGAATCTAGGCGCCAAGCAGGGGGCTGGCGGGAAAGCAGGCCTGCCCATCCTTTCCACCGCCATCTCATTGCAGCCCCTCGCCCCGCGCAGGCCCGCTTCATTCGTGTCCTGTGTCCCTCTTTCTGCCCCAGGGAAAGCGTGGAGAAGAGACACTCCAGCCATCCTTCACCAGCACCTGTCCTCCCGGTGGGCGCCCTGGGGCATAACCGCAGCTCTACCGAACAGATCAGGGGTCATTTGAACACCGAGGCTCGCGAAAAAGACAAACCCAAAGAGAGGGAGCGAGAGCACTCGGAATCCCGCAAGGACCTGGCCGTGGAGGAGCACAAGGCGAAGGAGGGCCACGCGCCCGAGAAGGACGCGCACAGCCATGAGGCGCGCGCCCTGGGCGATGAGGCCAAGCAGG